ATTTAAGAAAACCAGAAGGCTAGAGATGAAAAAATGACTAAATATTTGAAAATGAAAGAGAAAAAAATCGAGTTAAAAAAAAAATCAATCAATGTTCGGGCAACAGAAACGCAAGTTAATAGAGATGTTGCTAGTGAAAAATTAAAGTTTAATGAAAAGAAGCATAGAGACTGGTTAAATATAGAAAATTTGAAATGTGAGCTTTTATAAAAACTGTTAAAAAATCGTACTGACAGCGAAGAGTCTGATTAAACTACAAAAAGTTAATGTTTAATAGTTCCCAGTGAACACACAAACGTAACAGTGATATCACACCTAGAGAACATGTAAAATAACAAATGTAATGTAAATTTTGCATTCTTGTGATACAAATTGTTATGTAAATGGGACATCAAATTTGTGACGTAAATATGCCATTAAAATTACATACATGTTACATACCGAGTAACATCACATTAGTAACCTTAGAGTGATGTTATATCTATATAACATAGTTACGTTAGCTTTACATTCTAGATGTAACGTCACAATTACATACCTAAGTTAACTTATAAATAACATAACCGGTGTGACTCTGTTTTATCATCACATTTACATCACAATGTAATATTTCAATTCTGTTCATATTGTTACAGAACACCTATATAAAATAGTTATATTTATTTTACTTTGAAATTTTATGTCAAATTTATGCTAAAAAAGTAACTTTGAAATAATATAATGCGCTGTAACTGCATTGCTTTATACTGCATTTTGCAAATTGCATCAATATTTGAATAGGAATATTTTTTTACAGAATTAAATTCCTTATAAGTATATATTTTCAGTGCATTAAATAAATATGTCTAATGTTTAGTGTACGACCGGCTTTACACGTGGCACGGAACGTGTTAATAAAAATTTATATTATTAATTTATGTTATATTTTATTATTTAATATTATTTATTAATTTTAATTAATAATATTGTGGGGAGTGTTGAATATCAAAGAGTAAACACAGATAAGAAGGTAGGCGACGAAAGACTATCGAAATAAGGGAAAGACGGTGTTTGAACCACACTTTGTAAGTGAAGAAGTTTTGTGTGTAAGTTCGTGTGAGTTTAGAAGGTTCTCGAGTGATGTCGGTGATTTGTTTATTGGACCGAGCTGGACGTTGGGAAAATTCGAGAACGATTCGAGAATGTTCTGTCCCTCGGAGATGGAGGGTGGGGGAAAAACCTCTTAAGGAGAGGACGGTCACGCGTGAAGMGCGGTTTTTCGGGGGTAGCGCAGAGAGAACCGAGCGACGATAGCGAGCGATTCGATACGAGCGTGATTAGCGAGTGAATAGTGAAAGAATAGCGAGTGAGTAGTGACTGTGTGAGGTCTGAGTGAGTGTGAGAAGTTTCGAAGCGTACCTATATTGTAACTGTAATAAACAATACCTTGTGAAAATAAAGAATATCTTTTATATCTTAAGTAGTGTCGGCAACACGGGGAGATTAGATATCCTTAGCCGGATACAGAACGATTGATTTTCCTACAATATTAATAATTATATATGTATTAGTAATATACTGTAAATTAATACAAGTTCGTATGGCTCAAAGAGGCAAATCTCCATGCAGTAATATCCTTCCGGTAATCGTATGTTCCCGAGTTCAAATCCCGGGGGGGAAAAAAAATAAAAAAATGGAAACAATTACATAACCTCAACAACGATTTTCGATTTTTTTTTATATGTAACGTCACATTGTTACGTAAATGAGAGTGAAATTGTGCGTCACATGTGAGTCACCTGTGACCCGTATGTTATTTTAAGGTTTACGTAACCTAAAATTTTGGTTCTGTAAATGTGACGTCTCGGTTACATTGGTGTGTTCACTGGGTTCGTTGTACCTAAAAAGTTTATTATAGGATGCCAAAACAAATACTTTATATTAGGTTTATAATTAATATGTTCGTTGTTCCTAAAAAGTATATTATAGAATGCCAAACAAAATACTTTATATTAAGTTTATAATTAAGATGTTCGTTGTTCTTAAAAAGTTTATTATAGGATGCCAAAACAAATACTTTATATTAAGTTTATAATTAATATGTTCGTTGTTCCTAAAAGTTTATTGTAGGATGCCAATACAAATAAAATAACATATTTTAAAGTTTTTATTATTTTTCACCTATGTATTTTGTAAAGAACTATCATAACTACATAATCGTGACATTTTATAAATTTGGTTATAAACAGTAAATTACTTATTTATTAAATTTCAATTCTTTATCGTTTTAATTGATTTTGACAATTTAATTTACAATTTGATTTTGACAATTAGTTTACAATTTGATTTCGACAATTTTATTTAAAATTAGTATAGAAAAGTATAGATATATTTTATTTTGAACTTATGCAACTTGTGCATCTGGAAACAATTCTCTGAATATTACCATTCTACAATCTCTAATATTATTATTATTTTGATATTGTTCTTCATAACCATGTTTCCCTAAATTTATCCCTACTTGTATATTATCCTCTTCAAAGTTATCAAAATTATCATGTTCATCGATACAATAATTATGCAAAATACATGCTGCTGTAACAAGCTCCGATACAAATGATAAATCTCTGTACTCAGTAAAGAATTTAATTCGTCGAAAACGGCTTTATAATAGTCCAAAAGCTTTTTCAACTGACATTCGTGTAGATGAATGCAAATAATTAAATTCTTTTTATTGAGGAGTTAAGTGACCATTATCTCGAAATGGTGGAATAAGCCATGATAGCGATGGATATGCAGGATCTCCGATTAAAAAAGTATTATTTGGAAATACGTTTTCTTTATTATTGTGAAATTCTTCATATAAAGGTGATCTTCGTAAAACTCGAGCATCATGTAAAGATCCTGGCTCACCACAATAAATATTAGTAAACTTCATACTAGAATCAACTACTGCTTGAAGATTTATAGAGAAATATTTTTTCCGATAACAATAATCTAATGCATTTTCAGAAGGCTTTGCAATCCTTATATGTGTACAATCGATTGCCCCTAAGATATGTGATATATTTTTATGTGTGTAAAAACCTTCACATGTATTGATTATTACATGATTAGTCTAAGGCCAATTGACAACATCATCTAATTTCGTTAGAATCCAAGTTATGACAAGGCGAATGACTCGGAATATTGGTGAAATTGAAATATCAAATATATTTGATATAGTCCGCAATGATTCTGTATTTGCAATAAACCACAAAAATATTAAGAAGCTTATTTCAGCGCTTATGGATATCATCCCAAAGGAATTTTTGGGAATAAAAGTCGATTTTTCAAGTTCTTTTACAAAAAAAGGTTTCAGTAATATATTATATAGTATAAATAGTTATAACTCAAAAATATGAATTCTTAAATTACGTACTTATTAGATGATATGCAAGGATGCGATTCGCGATAATCGAAAATTTTCTTTAAATTCAGCATCCGTCCAAGACTTTACTACATTGAGATAATTTTCTACTCTTTGCTTTCGACAACCTTTTATCAAATATTCTATCAATAGCTCAAATAACTCATCTGTTTCATTATCATAAATATTTTTATTAAATATATCATTTAATAATGAACAAATTGATTGACTTAAATTCGGAGTACTCGATAAATCATCATCATCACTATTATCTGGGTAAGATGATTCAATTAAAAAGTATATAATTCTTTTAGAACTCATTTAAAAAAAATACTCAAAACATAAAAAAATGTTAATGAAATAATCAAAATCTAAATAACTTAAAATAAGCGTAAATTGTTTTCGACTAATTATTATTGTATATCACTTTATTTATACATTAATGAGGTTGCTAAGTCTATAAATGTTTTTTTTTCAACACTGAACTTAGCGCACTCTGCTGGTGCACTTGAAAACTAGTTCATGTTCCAATTAAGCTAAAGCACTATAGAGATGAGTATTCTCATCCGCCATTTTTACTCCTCGAGTGAGCGGAAGTTTAAAAAAAAAAACGTATGTATTGAGTGTTAGTCTGTAGGTTTTATCGTTATTTTTTGCAATTTTTTTAATTATTTGTGAATGAATAAAGAAGAAATTTTATTGAAATCGTTTAATTGTCATTTAATAGTCGTAAACAACTATTAATATCTGTCTGAAAACATATTGAAAAATACATTTTTAATAAAAATTTTTTAGCTCGCTACAAAGATTTTTGGGCTTTGCCTAGCAAAAATTAAAGGTATGTTTATTCTTTTTGTATATAAATAGAACGATCATAGTATTGTAAAGTTTACAATTTCTTATTTTAACGCTTGCTTGTAATAACCATCCAGTATTRRMTGYAAATAAGACTGTTGAACCTCCAGTAAAAAAGCTAYAAACAAGTGATACTCAGTTTTGTGTGCAAACATTTTTAATTGATGAGTTTAGCAATTGGATTTCTCGTTATGATGCAAATAGCATCTTTTATTTAGCTGGCAGCAAAACTAATGCTGTAGCCAAACGTGTTTGTAGAAATTGTGTGCAATTTTTGACATCTTCAAATTTGCCAAATACAGATTTTATAAAAAAAGCAAAGTATTAAACCAAAGGGTTAAACAAAGATGGTTTAAAGGAACCATGTATGGAAACTTTTAGTTTAATTTTACATTGTGAACATTATTTCACTTTTTACCAAGATGTGATAATTAGAAATAGTAACAGTGATTTATTAAAAGTATTATTTGAGAAAATCAACATTGATTTTCCAAGTTGTTGTTATGTTAAATACAAAATAATTAAACATTTTTTCAATGTTCGTTCGTATTGCGTGAAAAATTATTATGAGAACTGCAAACGTCATACCAAAGTGTATGGATCTGCGACTATGAAATGAAGAGTTTTAAACATTTAATTTATGCATTTGCTGCACATACATTGTGCATTGTTAATAATGATGTTAATTTTATTATTTATAATTTTATAATATTTTTACAACGGAACAAATGAATAAACAAATATAGATATATTTATATAAATGATACAAATTTATTTTATTTCAAATGTACAATTCTAACTACTCACTTATGCTATGTGCAGTTCATTACTTTTTTTTTTAAATATATACAATTTTTACCATGTTTAATTAAGTTCATGATTATGAAACATTGTATTAGCTTAAATATTCTGAAGCTGCTGAATATGATTTATATTCTTTTAAAATTGCATTCATTCTCTCTATTTGAGCCCTCATAGATTTTCATATAGATAGATTTTCAGCAAGCAAAGACATAATGGTCTCTTCGTCAACAGATTTTATTCCACTTTCACACTTCTAAAAAAGATACAATTATTATTTTTAAATTTACAATTAATTTACATATTTATATAACATAAACATAAATAAT